TAGAGTTGCCCCCTGATGGCCATTAGAAACATTGCAAATGTAAGGCTCTTTGGCATATGTATACTGTATATACAGTAGAATACTGTAACAGTAGTAACAGAACCAGGCGGTAATGGTATACTAAGAACTCACAGATTTATTTATCAGTTTAGTTTATCCAGCTCTGGATGGTGAACTTGTGTCATCCTGCGTCTGTGGGTGCGTCTGTGACATTTCCTGGCAGTCTGTCCTCAGATGAAGATGGTAGGTGAGATCTCTGTCCCTGCCTCCGCTGACAGATGAGTCCTGGCAGTGAAGTGATCCTGTCTCCTTTCCTCTCCTCTCCTCTCCTTTCCTTTCCTTATCTTCTCTTCTCTTCTCGTCGGTCTCTTTCTTATCTTCTATCTCTCTCTTCCTCTTCTCTTCTCTTCTCTTCTCTTCTCTTCTCTTCTCTTCTCTTCTCTTCTCTTCTCTTCTCTTCTCCTCTCCTCTCCTCTCCTCTCCTCTCCTCTCCTCTCCTCGCGCTGACGTCCATTTTGTGGTCATGTGTGCAGCTGGCTGTTTAATGGAGGAGGATTGGATCAGAGCCACACACTCAGTCACATTCACGCAAGAAGAAATATACAGGCATCCTTTGTTATTACACACACACACACACACACACACACACACACACACACACACACACACACACACACACACACACACACACACACACACACACACACACACACAGACACTGACACTCATTTGGATTCACAGACTGAAATGCTCAGTCGTATCAAAGCTTTCATCCCCCTTCTCTCCATCCCGTCACCGTAGCAACGCCTAAGGGTGTGATGTGTGAGCCAAAGACTCTCCGCAGACAAAGAGGAGTGTGTGTGTGTGTGTGTGTGTGTGTGTGTGTGTGTGTGTGTGTGTGTGTGTGTGTGTGTGTGTGTGTGTGTGTGTGTGTGTTTAGATTAGCAGTTTTGTGTTAAATGCTTTCAGAAAGCAGCAGGCATGCCTTGATCTAATTGACCGACTCAAAAATAAAGTCAAAAATAAATAATGAAAAACATAAAAAGAAACGTAGAGAGGAAAACAGCAAGAACAAAAAGAGGGAATACTCATGATAACGTGGCCTACTTTCCACTACTACTTAAATTAGTTTTCTTTATGAAATCAGCCTAGATGTAAAAGCTGCTTCAGGGATCGGTCTGTGATTCTACAGGATGGGTAAGAAGTGTTCAAAAGATCAAATTGAAAGTATTTCTCATCCCTCTCTCTGTCTGTGCTCCTGTTATTAATATAAATGATTCAGCCGTTGGCTTTTAAATGCACAGAGAGCAGAAATGGGTCAGTGTTGTTTTCCTCCTTTTCTGGCATTCAGCCCAGAACTGACTTCACCTAATGTACGAGAGGATTTATAAATAATATGAACAAAAAAAATCATACTGAAATATAGTTAGGAGCTGTGTGCAACGGTCAGTGTATGTTTCGGTCATTGGATTTTCTTTTCACAAATGGATATTCAAAACAAAAAACGACTGGATATTTAATTTTCGTTTTAAAATTGAAAAACCAAAATTGAAATACAAGGCTTTTTTTTTATCATGGTCAAAAAGGGATTTACTAAACTTAAAAAACTGGATGATTTTCGTTTTCTACTTCTCAAAACTAAAAATAAAATCACTAGAAAACAGAAACAAAAAAACTACGTTTTTTTCATATTCTGCTACCGGAAGTTACCTTACAAAATAAGAGCGCAGATGAGGTCAGAATCCGTGTATCTACGGTCCATTTGTTTTTCTTTATGAAACAAGTAAACGGAAGAGCGTCTGCACGGCGTTTTTGTTTTTTGCTTTTTACCTTACTAAATGGTCAAATGGTCCTTGGAGCGAGGTGCGGGCCGAAACTCACGGAAGTGATTTCAAAACAAAAGCACTTGTTTGCTTGGAACTGTGATAAATTATTATAAACAAGGGGAATTTAGCAATCACAACGAAAATGGCCAAGACACACTTTGAGCCCAGAAAATGAATGTTACTAAGGGCTGTAAATATAATAAGCCTATGTCTAAAATGGACAACATTGTTAGGAGATTTAAACTATACAGCGATTCTGCACTGCGTTCAACTCAGCCGTCTCTCCACTTTGTTTTTTCAAATCAGCTGCTCTTCATTTTTCCTGCTATATTTGACGAATGATACAAATATTTTTTACCTCAAGTTCTTAAGAAAACTGACATTGTTGGACTCGGTACTAGTTTGACTTCTACCAGAAATAAAATGAAGTACTTTTACTGTGTACTTTGTGAGTAATCCTCTGTCAGAGTCCCCTTCATAGTAGGCTACATAATGCATGTTTATCTGCTATCTTTGATGAATGATCAAAATACAATGTTACCATTAGTTCTTAATGAAATTGATACTGTTTGACTTTGTATTAGTAAGCCTACTACTAACAATACATTGAAGTACTTTTACTGTGTATTTTTTGAGAAATACTCTGTCAAAGTCCCCTGCTGAGAACAAAATCAAGCCACTTCTGCTAAGTTTGATGAGGGAATTATTTTTTGTTGCCATTAGTTCTTTGTGAGATTGATCCTGTTGGACTCAGTACTAGTGAAACTACCCCCACATGTACTATGAAGTACTTACTGTGTACTTTTCCAATAATCCAATGTCAATATCCCCTCCTGAGAACAAGAATGCATGTTTCTCTGCTATTTTGAATAAGCGTTAAAAAACCTTTCTTCATGAGACTTATATTGTTGGACAGAGTAGGCTATTTTAAGAGGATATAATATCAGCAATACTTTCAGTCTGGCCTGGATAGCTGGTCACAAATATCCTTCAGCAATGTGACACACTCTGTCACTCTTGTTGGCCTCTTATGATACTGCTGTCTTTTAATATAAAAAATATTTGTATAACTCAACAAATATAGCAGAAAAGAAATGAAGAGCAGCTGATTTGAAAAAACAAACTCGAGAGACAGCTGTGTTGACCGCAGTGCAGAATCGCTGTATAGTTTAAATCTCCTAACAATGTTGTCCATTTTAGACATAGGCTTATTATTTTTACAGCCCTTAGTAACATTCATTTTCTGGGCTCAATATGTGTCTTGGCCGTTTTCATTGTGATCGCTAAATTCCCCTTGTTTATAAAATCACCGTTCCTTCAGCAGGATACTGTAGTGATTCAAAGTGTGATTTTGTTTTGAAATCACTTCCGTGAGTTTCGCCCCGCCCCTCGCTCCAAGGACCATTTGACCATTTAGTAAGGTAAAAAGCAAAAACGCCTCGCAGACGCTCTTCCGTTTACTTGTTTCATAAAGAAAAACAAATGGACCGTAGATACACGGATTCTGACCTCATCTGCGCTCTTATTTTGTAAGGTAACTTCCGGTAGCAGAATATGAAAAAACTGTAGTTTTTTTGTTTCTGTTTTACTAGTGATTTCAGTTTTAGTTTTGAGAAGTAGAAAATGAAAATCATCCCGTTTTTTAAGTTTAGTAAATCCCTTTTTGACCATGATAAAGAAAAACGCCTTGTATTTCAATTTTGGTTTTTCAATTTTAAAACGAAAATTAAATATCCAGTCGTTTTTTGTTTTTGAATTTCCATTTGTGAAAAGAAAATCCAATGACCAAAACATACACTGACCCGATTGACCGTCCTCATCTGCGCTCTTATTTTGAAAGACAACTTCCGGTAGCAGAATATGAAAAAACGTTTTTTTTTTTTTTTTTCTGTTTTCTAGTGATTTTATTTTTTGTTTTGAGAAGTAGAAAATGAAAATCATCCCGTTTTTTAAGTTTAGTAAATCCCTTTTTGACCGTGATAAAGAAAAACGCCTTGTATTTCAATTTTGGTTTTTCAATTTGAAAACGAAAATCAAATATCCAGCCGTTTTTTGTTTTTGAATTTCCATTTGTGAAAAGAAAATCCAATGACCAAAACATACACTGACCCAACACACTCCTACAATGCTTTTCTTTGCCATGTATGTAATATGTAATGATAAGATCTAACAGAATGGCTTATATGTTCTGATTATTTTCCTATTAGAAAGTCTGATACAAATATTTAACAGCACTGCTATCAATAACATCAATATATTGGATTGTTTGTAATTTAATGAACATGCCCTCAGGAGCTTTGTGTATTCAGGGTTTCTACATATCAGCAGCTGATGTGCGGAACATTAACTAAACAGATCCTGAGATATTCATAACTCTGATCTCACATGACGGATGTTTTCCACCATTATTTAATCCAACATTAAATGTGATGACACATTTTTCAATTATTTTAATTTAATCGTTTATTTGAAGAGGTACAATTGAGGTACAAATTGATGAACATTTAAAACAAATAATACTTTCAAACGTAAACATGCCGGATTTTAGCTTTGAGCTAATTTCCATCCGTAGTCCCTCACATACAACATTTAAGAACGACATTGACACATTTCTGTAAACAAGATATTTTTTGGTGTGACATTGTGCTTGTTGTATTTATTAATCTATTATTTTATGTTTCAAACTATGTTCGCCTTGTATGTAAGCATAATAATGTAATTATTAAATAAAGTTATAATGATCAAATAATTGAGAATCAGTTTTAAGTGAAATATCTGAGTGATTTGTCTGCAAAGATCGAGGATATCACAGTGACAGATATTGCCGTATAAATGTGGCATACATCATTATGACACCCAACACTTGTTTTTATGTCACATTTAGAATGCATGGATAGTTTGTGTACTGCTGGTATACCTGATCATCTCGGACAGGAATCACATTCTCTACTTGGTTCTCCGTTCAAAAATCTGTTCAAATCAAAGCATATCTTCAGTTTATCCCCCTCATCCTCATGTCTTCTTCAACTTGTGTGTGTGTGGTGTGTGTGTGTGTGTGTGTGCGTGTATGTGTGTGTGTGTGTGTGTGTGTGTGTGTGTGTGTGTGGTGTGTGTGTGTGTGTGTGTGTGTGTGTGTGTGTGTGTGTGTGTGTGTGTGTGTGTGTGTGTGTGTAGCTTTCTGGAGCTGAGAAGCCCCCTGCTGGAGAGCCAGAGAATGGAGGCGCAGCAGCAGGAACAGAAGCTCCTGCAGATGGAGGCAGCAAGGTGACCACTTGTTACTCTCCCCCCACTAACTTTCATGCGTTTTGGACTATTGCAAGCACCCCAGAAACGCATTCAAACCCGGCAAATACAAAATATTATAATTCTATCAGTTTAAATAGGTCCTCCGCACTGTGTCTGTCAGTGACTGGGCCTAATAATGATCTTCATATAACAGTTTTCCTGCCCCTCCTTTCAGGTGGAGATGGTGTTCTGGCTGCTCTCCATGCTCGCCAACAGAGATAAGGAGGAGATGTCTCGCACTCTGCTGGCTCTGTCCAGCTCTCAGGACAGCTGCATTGCTATGAGAAAGTCCGGCTGCGTCCCGCTGCTGGTCCAGATCCTACACGAAGCCCCCAGCGGGGGGGAGACAGTGACGGAAGGGACTGTGACGGGCTGCAGCAGGGAGGCCAGATCTAGAGCCAGCGCCGCCCTCCACAACATCATCTACTCCCAGCAGGACGAGGGCCAGGCCCGCCGTGAGATGCGGGTGCTGCACCTGCTGGAGCAGGTCCGGACCTACTGTGACAGCGGCTGGGACTGGATCGAGAGCCACGCAGGGACACCGTCCCCTGGAGGAACCAAAACCACCGGTCAGTCAAGTTCTTAACCTGTTAAGCCCGAGAGACCCCGGTACCGGGGCTCTGCCGCAACATCTTGCAGGAAACAGTGTCTGAGGGCATGTTCATTTAATAAACTATGAATGTTTTATATCCATGTAACGAGAAGAAACTCATCTAACTGATCTTTTTTTTTTTTTTTTTTTTAAAGAAAACCCACAATGCTAACACTGAGCCTCTGAATTAGCAACGAGCGAAAAATGCTAACACCTTACTGCACCGAAAATCACTCACAAAACCTTATTATTTATCTTTTCTCCACATCCATGATATCGAGTCACATCGTGAGGTGTCACAGAATCGATGGGTACCCTCATTATCACTGAATTATACGTATTTGCGACGTTATAAACAAAAACAGACATCAAAACAGGTGACGCTAGGTAGCTAAAAATGCTAACAAGGTTACCTTGGCTCTGTAGTCTCTCCAAAGTGGTCTTCAAAGGCATTAAAACGATAAAAACGCTGCTGAAGTTAATCCATAGGTTAATCGAATGTGTCTGTGTCCCTTGATGATTTCTGATAATCCATGATCAATAAAACGGATAATCCATGCTATTCCGTTTCTAGATGTCAGAGCTAGAATGTAGCTTCACTCTAATGCAAAATTACATGCACAAAGCCCTCACCTTTTTCTTTCACAATGAGTGTGTGTGGGGGACTCCCCCTTCGATTATATTGGCTCTAACGGTCAGAAAGAGGTGTCAACCATCAAAATCTATCAAGGGGGGCCAGAGATATGGAAAATCCACCCAAATGACCCCAGAAGTGGTTGTTTTTTGCTAAATCTCTCTAAAAAGGTCAAATGTCACTTGTTTTGCATCAATCTTGATACAGGGTACTTATTATATGTTGTACTTTGGATTCCTAAAGCTTTTAGTCTACCTTACCATCATCCAAGGGTGGTTTTCACTATAAGTAAAAAAGAATTTTTGGACGGACAATATAATTTACAGTTTTTTACTATGTAAAATCTGAATTTTCTTTAAAATAAAAAACATCTATATTGATTCTGACTTTTCTACATCCAACTCACAGGTTTATCATTACTTTGAGAAAAAAGATTATTAATTTAACCCTTTTAGAAGGGAAGATATGGTCATTTGTTCTGGGAATGTCATTTTCGAGCCTGAGACCTGAAAACAGGCTCAGGGCTTAACAGGTTAAACTCCATTGGTCGGTTAAGCTCCCTCTATACATTTGGAAATGCGAACAACCCTTTAAACGGGCGGGGTCACCTCTAGACTTATCCATACCCACTGGGGAGCAGAGTTTAGAAACTTTAGACCAGGAGGAGCTCACACCACCTATGCCTCAGGTTCCTACTCAGACCCGGCGGCAGACATAAATCTGTGGGCGGGCATTTGATTTCCCAGGGCGGGCCCAATGTAAAAATAATATGTGGCGGGCATCCTTACCTGCGATTACTCTGACAGACTGTTAGAACTATCTCACATTCACACACATTATGTTCCATTGCTTCAAAACAGCTCACATTTAAATATATTTGGGCCTACACATTCTTCTTTTACATTCATGGCCCACAACTTTCCGCTGCACTTGGGTCACAAATCCAAACAATTTATAAGAATGGGAAATTATGCTCAAGTCGTTTAGTCCCACCAAAATGTTAAACTTACACATCATACACAACACAACATTCCATGGCTTATGTGAATTATAAGTGCTAAACAAAGTCAATAAAACAGTTGTTAATTGCACACTATAGTATCACTTCTATAACTAAAGTAAATTATTTGAGGACTTCTTCCTCCACTCACAATTTTCTTCTTTGCATTTAAAACCAATTATACATCCCTTCATTTTTGTGGCGACGAGCTAGGAGTTTTTTTGGGTACAGCAAAAGGCAGTACATTGTTTGTGTTGTACCAGTACAACATAAAGGCACATATTTCACAGATGAGTTTTCTCATTCAGTAGATTTATTGTTAATAAACGTATTTGTTTTCCTCTCTGTAGACATCCCTGAGCCTGTAGACCCTCAGATCTGTCAGGCCATGTGCGCCATCATGAAGCTTTCCTTTGAAGAGGAGTACCGACGTGCCATGAACGAATTAGGTTTGTGAAACAACTACCAGTCTTATTTTCACTAAACACTAGTGGCCCCTTTTGCTCATAGTTGATTGTGTTGTGTTCCAGGTGGTCTGCAGGTCGTGGCTGATTTGATCCACCTGGAGCAGGACATGTACGGCATGCAGAACGACCCCATCAACATGGCTCTGCGCCGCTACGCAGGGATGGCTGTGACTAACCTTACCTTCGGAGACGTCGTCAACAAGGTACACTGGTGTTTCATCAGTCCTGCAAGTTCAGTTGGCAGTAATGTTAGAGAAAGATTTGTCGTGGAAAGGTGTAAAATATGAGAAAAGTAACCTAAACACGGTTGTGGACAGTAACTATATACATTTATACATATTTTCTCATTTCTATACTTGTTCGCATTACAAGAATACTTAAGTTACTTTTTTAATGCACAACCTTAACTTGTAATAGAGTATACATAGTTTGATAATGCTAATGTTTACAAGATCTAAATATTTCTTCAACAATAGATTCCCACCCTTTTTGTTAGGACTGTTACTAACACTGGTGTCGGACGGTTTTTAGGGTAAGAGATTGTTGCGGTCACTTCTTTTTAATACCCTTATAATGACATACTATTCTATGAGGTTTTAAACTCTTTTCAATTACTTTATGGCATTTTTATAACATACTATAATATGAAGTTGTATGGCATTCATATGACATACTAAACTATGACATTAACCTGTTACGCACCGCCCCCCCGGTACCGGGCGGATAAACGCGTCATTTGCAGGAAACAACGTCTAAGGAATCTTAATATTTAATAAACTATGAATGTTTTATATCCATGTAACGGGAAGAAACTCAGCTAACTGATCTTCTTAATTTTTTTTCTCCAAAAAAACCCCACATGCTCAGCCTCTGAATTACCCACGGGGGAAAAAATGTAACCTAAAACTGCACCTAAACTCACTCATAACTCCCTTATTACTTATCCTAGATGCACAGCCAACCGCTCGTTTTGCATCTCCTGGAGACACAGAATCTGTGTAAAAAACCTCAACACTCAGTGATAAACATTTGCGACGCTATAAACGTAAGCGTACATCATAACATGTGGAGCTAGGTAGCTAGAAACGCTAACATGGCTTACCTTGGTCAAAACTGGTCTTCAATGGCATTAAAACGATAACAAAACGATGCTGCAGTTAATCCATAGGTTCATCCAATGTGTCTGTGTCCTCTTTGAAATGATTTCTGATAATCCATAAGCAATAAAACTGCTTTTTCGTTTCCAAATGTCAGAGCGAGAGATCGGTCCACTCTGCTGGCAAAATTACATGCGCGAAGCCCCACCGTTTGTTTTCACAACGAGTGTGTGTGGGGGCCTCCCCCTTCGATTCTATTGGCTCTAACGGTCAGAAAGAGGTGTCAACCATCCAAATCGACCAAGGGGGGCCAGAGATATGGAAAAAAAAACATTTTCACCCAAATCACCTCAGAGGTGGGGTGGTTTTGGCTAAACCTCTCTAAAAAGGTCAAATGTCACTTATTTTGCATCAATCTTGATACAGGGTACTTATTATATGTTGTACTTTAGATTCCTAAACCTTTTAGTCTACTAACCCATCATCCAAGGGTAGTTTTCACTATAAGTAAAAAAGAATATTTGGACGGACACTATCATTTACAGTTTTTTACTATGTAAAATCTGAATTTTCTTTAAAATAAAAAACATCTATATTGATTCTGACACTTCTACATCCAACTCACAGATGTAACCTTGCTTTGATAAAAGACATTATTCATATAACCCTTTTAGAAGTTAAGTTGTAGTCATTTGTTTTGGGCATGTCATTTTCGAGCCTGAAACATGAAAAACAGGCTTGGTAACAGGTTAATGAAATACTATTCTATTTCTTTATTGGCATTTTCATGAAATACCATACTGTAACTTAAATGGCATTTACAACATAGTTTGCTATGATCTTTTTTTCTATATACTATACTTTAACGTTTTTAAACACACTACAACTAAAATGTTTCATAAAAAGTCAATCAAGAAATGGAATATGTTGTCAAAAAAAAGTCATTACAAAAAATGCAGCATAGCATAGCATGTCATGTGATGACAATAAAAAGCCATAAAAGATAAAAACTCATAGTATGCTATATAAAAAAAATTAAAAGCATAGGATAATAAAAATAACAAATAACAACAATCAAACATGATATGTGTTAAAAAAAACATATACAAAAAATATCAAAGTAAAGCGTGTATTTAAAAAAAAAATAGTATAGTATGTCATTTAAATGCTAAATAATTCATAAACTGTAAGGCCACAGAAATATGCTCGAAATGCTCTGTGACAGCAGCTCTGACAGACAGGCCTTTGTGACAGTCAACAGATCAATTAAAAATGTCTTTGATTGATTTACCAAACTAAAACAATTGGGTCTGTTTGCCCCAAACTGTTCACATTTCAGGCCACTCTGTGCTCCAAGAAGAGCTGTCTGCTGGCTCTTGTGGCCCAGTTGGCGTCAGACAGTGAGGAGCTACATCAAGTGGTCTCCAGCATCCTGAGGAACCTATCCTGGAGGGCCGACATCAGCAGTAAGAAGGTCCTCAGAGACATCGGCTGTGTGTCTGCCCTGATGACCTGTGCCCTGCAGGCTACCAAGGTAACTCAAACAACCTCACCCGCACAGAGATAATGTGAGGAAGATCGTAAAGACATCTTCTAAATTACTCGTTTTATATCTTGTGGAAGTTTCCATCGCTTTTACGCTTACTTTTAGTACGAATTATACACATGATATACAGCATGTCAATTAGTGTAAAACTGTGCATATGTGTTTAAAAGGTTTCTAAATGTATGTAACCGGAGTTGGCTAATCCTATCAAGTCAGTAACTTGTCAGTTCCAACAGCAAGTCACAGTGTGATTTTAAAAAGTACGCTCTGAATAATTTCAAATGAAAATGTAAGCTCTGAAGACATTATGTTCACTGAGTATATGTACTTTCTGTGTTTGTATACAAAGCCAACAAAACCTTATATGTTGTTTTGCTGATTTTCAGGAGTCGACCTTGAAGAGCCTCCTTAGTGCTCTGTGGAATCTTTCTGCTCACAGCACTGACAACAAGGTGGCAATATGCTCAGTGGACGGCGCTCTGGGCTTTCTGGTCAGCACACTGACGTACCGATGTCAAACCAATTCGCTTGCCATCATCGAGAGCGGAGGAGGAATTCTTCGAAACGTGTCAAGTCTGGTCGCTACAAGGGAAGACTACAGGTAGGTTTCTGAGACTCAAACAATGACTGATATTGCAGAAAATAAATTATATTGACATTGTAGTTAGAGAAAAAATATCTGCTCAAGGAGTATTTCTTGAGCCCTCAACAACAGTTAGTCTTTAGTCCAGAGGTCGCGCTAGACTTTTTCGCTGCCCGTCATTTTGACGGACAGGATCGTAACATTTCCGTCAAAATCCAGTATTACCCGTCGGCCTTTACACAACTCTGACGAGGGGGGGGGGGGGGGAGAGAGTGAACTGTCACAGCGTAAAGCCAAAACTCACAGACATTTCAATGATTAAAGTTAGGTTTGGAAACGGTATCATTTCCTTTTTGGCGGGCATGCATAACACTGTATAACACCGGAGCCTCGCTGCGGGGAAACTTTGGCGCTGTTCTGAGTTTGTTCTAATCTGTCAAAATGACGGACTGCTTTCAGATTTTTCCGTCATTGTTAAAAAATATCCGTCATAGACGGAAAATATTCGGTTAACACAACCTCTGCTTTAGTCACAGATGTCTCAGAGCAAATGCCATCTGCTAATGAAACCTGAAGATGTATTTGAAAATTCAAAGAAATTTAAGATAATTAATCTTAAATTAAGATTTTTTTTGTCATGTGACCTGGTTCTTACGTTTAATACAACTTGTAATCGGACACGGGATTGTGCCACTCAAACATTGCTTTTTGAAACAGTACTGCACTTTTAAAAGTATGTATTTAATCAATTTCTAAAGAAATCAATTGAAAAACTGTCTGATGGGATTCTTGCCAGTTACATTATTGTTTGTTAAATAGAGAACAGAGTTTTCTAGTCAACATACTCATGTAGTTAATTGGGGTAAAATGTCAATTCAAACTAGAATGGTTCTTTAATGTACCAAGTAATTGCTTCAGCTGCAGATAATAATTATATTAAAATGTATTTTGCTTTCTTACTTCAAGGCAAATCCTCAGGGACCACAACTGCCTCCAGACTCTGCTGCAGCACCTGCGGTCCCACAGTCTGACAATAGTGAGCAACGCCTGCGGAACTCTCTGGAACCTCTCTGCCCGTAGTCCAAAAGACCAGGAGCTGCTCTGGGATCTTAGTGCAGTTAGCATGCTGCGCAACCTTATCCACTCCAAGCACAAGATGATAGCCATGGGCAGCGCTGCAGCTTTAAGGAATCTCCTCACAAATCGACCCCTAAAATATAAGGATGCTGCCGTAGTATCCCCTGGGTCCTGCATGCCGTCACTTTACATGAGGAAACAGAAGGCTCTGGAGGCAGAGCTGGATGCCAAACACCTTGCAGATACTTTTGACACCCTGGAGAAACAAAGCCCCAAGAATCTGACACTTAACAAGCCACTACGCCACATTGAGAGTCTGGCGAAGGATTATGCATCTGATTCTGGTTGTTTTGATGATGATGAGGCACCCAACGTCTCCAGTAGCCTGGACACTGGGAGTTTCTCGATGCTCTCTATGTTCCTTACAAACTCTAACTTCTTGCAAAACCAACCACGCAAGAGGGACAGTGAACCTGAGAGAGATGTAGACATCCCTCAGATGGTCGAGAAGAGACAAGCTCCTCCTGACGATTTGGTATCTGCTGCTGCAGAGAAGCTGGCCAAAAAGATCACCAACACGGTTGCCAAGATAGACAGGTTAGTGGAGGACATCAACATGCAAACATCATCGGAGGACAGTTTTAGCCTCAGCTCTGAAGACCACTTGGCGGACTGGCCTTATGGGCTGGATGAACTAAATGAAGCCCGTGCAAAATCATGCTCCCCTTGCCGTCTCTCCGAAACAAGCAGCTTGGCCCACAGGGAACGGCTCAGTAGAGCCCATGCCCTCTTGCGCCTCAAAACGGCCAATACAAATGTATCAACAGACAGCCTAAACAGTGGAAGCACCAGTGATGGCTACTGTGGAAGCAAAGACCAGATGCGACCTGCTCCAAAACCTCTAACAATGCAACAGCGTCCCAACCAGCTTGATCTCAAGGTGGCCCATCACGATTACTTCAATGTAGCGTCTGCACTGAATGAGACTAACCATCAATACATTCCGGAGAGAGATTCTGTGGACAACAAAGATGCAAGAGGTGAAGAGCTCAGCAGCACAGATGCAGAAAAGTATCAGGATCAACCTGTACAAACGCCTGTCAGTGCTTGTACTAAACTCTCCTCTGATGTCAGCATGACTTCAATTCAACTGTCTCCTTCTTATCAACAGGTTCCACTTATTCAGAGTGTGGCTAAATTTGGTGTAGCAAAGACAGCAATCAATGTACAGGCTGCCCAAGCAATGAGGAGGCAAGCATGGGTACCTACTGTGATGACTGGGGCTAGTATTACTACATTTTCTCCAATGTCATCCACCAGAAGCCCAACTATTGGGGCGATGGAGACGATCCAGAAATACTCGGTGGAGAACACCCCAATTTGCTTCTCCCGCTGCAGTTCACTCTCCTCCCTCTCTTCTGGCGACGGAGCATTGGATGGACAAAGTGAAAATGAGCTAGAGAGTGACTCATCATTAGAAATAATTGAAGTAGAAGATGGGGAAGAGGTGAAAAGAGCTGAAGAGGATGAAACCTTGGAGGATCTGAGTGACAGTCAGCTGCTAATGACTGACTCAAAAACATTCCCCAGCAAAGAGACGGATCCCATTGAGATTCCCTGTCATGCCAAACGGGAAAAGGTGTTCCTTAGAGGAGCTTCACCAGCCATACTTGAAGACAGATCTCCATCAAGTTCATCTGAAAACTACATCCACGAGACCCCCCTGATAATGAGTCGCTGTAGCTCAGTCAGTTCCCTGGGTAGTTTTGAGTCTCCTTCTATTGCCAGCTCAATCCAAAGTGATCCATGCAGTGAGATGATAGATGGAACAATAAGCCCTAGTGATCTACCTGACAGCCCGGGTCAAACCATGCCTCCTAGTCGAAGTAAAACTCCATGTTGCATTGAGTCAAATGGACAAGAAACACAGGCCACAGGAATTGCAGGTCAATGGGAAAACAGCCTGCGAAAGTTCATGGAGATTGCAGACTCCAAGGAGAGGTTTAACCTTCCTCCTGACTTGGACACTATGATCTACTTTACAGTGGAAAAGCCAACTGAAAACTTCTCTTGTGCTTCGAGTTTGAGTGCACTGCCTCTTCACGAACACTACATACAAAAAGATGTTGAGCTGAAATTGACCCCCCTACTCCAGCAAAATGACAAAAATCTTCCTTTCCCTGATGAGCATGAGCAAGGATTTGACCATGGTGAGAGATATAGTGAGGGCAACTCAGATGATGACATAGAAATCTTAAAGGAATGCATCAACTCAGCAATGCCCTCCAAGTTCAGACAAGTAAGACCTTCCCTGATGACCACCATCCCTCCTCATATTCTCAATTCTCAGATCCGAAAACAGATTCACGTTCCAGTGTACATGATGCTTCCAAATGGTAAAACCCAAATGTGTCCTGGAAGGAGATTCGTCATCCCCCAAAAGGACTTCATATTTGACGATTCGTCCTTCACTGATTCTGCAGAAGGTACACCAGTCAACTTCTCCAGCACAACATCCCTTAGTGATGAAACACTTCAGTATTCAGTAAAGGAGAGGGGAGCTAACGACTGCACAGCTAAAGGTATAAACAAACAGGAATTGCTTGACGATGAGGCAAAGAGGATAGAAGACTTGAGGATATTCTCACACTTCCATAAACCCAACAAGATGAACTACCCACCAGAGATACAAATGAATCGAACAACCAAACACATCATCCCGACGCAGAGGGTGCTGTTGCAGAGCAAAGAGGTAGCAGATAGGGTGGCAAACCAAAGAAACCGTGATAAGTCACCAAACCAGCAAAATAATAGGCAAGGTCAAGGTACGGTCAGGAAACTGGAATTGCCCGTCATTAAGCAAAACAAAGAAGGTAACCTAAATGTTCGATCACAAAAAGGGAAAACAGTCTTTCGGCAAATGACACAATCTTCCGAGGACAGTAACAGCTTCTATGATGATAAAAAGGAAGCAATCAAACGAACAAGCAGAAAACAAATCAGGGAAGAAAGTAGAAACACTCTCTCCCGGAGCATGACAAATATTGGCAGTGTTGATCATTCCCAAGCAATTTCAAGAGGATTTCAAAGGATAAAACAAAATCTGATTAAGGATGAATCACTGGCATGTTACTCACTCAGCTCTTCACTTAGCTCACTGAGTGATGCTGAGTTTGAGCCTCATAAATCAAAAGCCCATAAAATATGGTACAAAAACAGACACAACAAAACACTGAATATGATGAAACAAACAAAGACTATAAACATTCACAGCCAATACGAAGATCCAAGCTCGCCAAGCTCTGTCAGCATGGATTCAGAGGATGACCTTCTTCAGAAATGCATAACATCTGCCATGCCTAGGCAGAGAAGAAGGCTTGCTGCCAGAAAGAAAAAAGCAGAAAATACTCAAAAACAAAAGACCTCTGATGGGTGGAACATGAATGAGGAAATGGATATGGATGAGGAAATGGATAGTGATGATACAGCATGGGATAAAGATTCAGACCTCAATAGTGTTGAATGGAGAGCCATACAAGAAGGTGCTAATTGTGTTGTCACTGGGTTGCAGGCATCAAGGTCTCAGGACCCATCTTCTGAAGAGACTGAATCAGTCCTGTCATTTATGTCAACATCCAGCTTTACACCCAAAGAAAGGAAGTTTGCTAAAGATAAAAAGGCAAATAAACCTCTTGACTTTGCGCAGCGCAAGCCAGTTCCAAACCTACCAATGGTTTTCAGAGGCAGGACAGTGATCTATACACCGAAAAAGGAGACGGCTCCATCACAAATACCTCCTCCTAGAAAAATAACAACCAAGACAGATGCTCCAAAGAACCCAAACCTTGCTCAGCACAGATCAAAGAGCCTTCACAGATTAGGTTGGCCCCAGGATATTGAACTATCTTTGCCAAAGAGAAGCTCTACTCCACCTCCAAGGATACCAAAAAGTTCATCCTCTGGATCATCACAAAGCTCTACACCATCTAAACAGTCACAGAAGAAGATAACATCCCCGACTCAGACAAATAAAGCCAACCAGAAAAAGAATGCCTCATTACCTAGTAGCCCGCCAGCTACAAGCCCCCCTGAAAGAAAGGGACGCTCTCCTGTTATGAAACAAAATGAAAAGTCTGCACCACCTAAAACTCAAAAGTCTCCTGTCCGAATTCCTTTTATGCAAAATTCAGTCAGGCCAAGACCTCTGTCACCTCTAGTAACTAACAAAACAACCACCACACAAACCAATCAGGTCAATGGCAAACGTTTGGCCCCCACCAATCGTTTTGGACTGGTCAGGATGACTTCTGTCCATTCAAGTGGTGGTGAGTCTGAGCGCAATGGATTTTTGAGACAGCTGACTTTCATTAAGGAATCACAGAACGCGCTTAGACGTGATAACTCAGCACGCAACATGTCAGGATCTCAAAATGGATCCCCGCGCAGAACAATTCCTGGAGCTACAGCTGTCTTCCTTTGCTCATCACGCTGTCAGGAACTAAAGGTATCTGTGCAAACTCCCAGACGGGTGCAAGTAAAAGATCCAAGACAAACAGAGCAGAGGTCAGACCGCCTTCAGAAGCAGAGTGCAACCCTCTCCAGAGCAACCTCCAGTGAAAGAGACCTATCTGCAAGACGCCCATCCAGAAGAACCAGTTCTGAAAGCCCTTGCAGGTTGGCTCAGCGAAACGGGCCTGGCAGAGTGTCTGGACCCAAGCAGCAACAAGACAAGGATAACTTTAAACGTCATGCTTCATCACCAAGCCTAAACATACTGAGCCGGGTGACAAGCCGTTCCTCCCTCCGTTCGTCCTCATCTGATTCAAGCGGAAGAGCAAAGAGCGAGGATGATACAAAGAAGAAAGTGCAGAGATCTGCATCACGGCTTAATGAAAGAGTCACCTGGAGGAGGATCAGGGATGAAGATGTATCTCAGATCTTGAAAAGCACTCTGCCAGCAAATGCATTACCTCTGGTGACTTCTCCTGACGGGGAACAGCCAAAGCCACTGGCTCTACCAGGAAAACTGCCAACAATTCTACTTGCGTCTCGCAAGACAAGCGATGCGACAGTCCAGACAGAGGATTTTACAAACAACAAGACCAACTCAAGCACCTCTCCAACGGTTGAAACAGCTCAGGTGATTTCAGAGGAAGTGTCACGCTTTGCTCTACTTAAGAAGATTAGTTCAACCTCTGGGAGTAACCTGCAGGATGGAGATTCTGACGTCTCCCCAAGGAGCCACAGTACTGTCTCCACAGGAACGTCTGATTCCCACGTCAGTGGAGTTGTCCATTTCCGCCAAGGATCCCCCAGCAAGGCCGCCCGTATCACTCCATTTAATTATACTCCAAGCCCCATTTCCTGCAACCTACAAGACATGCAGAGCCAGAGAGCCTCGGTCAATGAAAAGTCTGGGGAGAAAAGCGAGTCGTAAGACATTTAGTGGATTACTGGACGACATGGATTACTCTACTGTGATCCTGGATGAAACTCAGGTGGACAGTCTAGGAGCGTGGTGGCCCATATACCTCGGGTATTTACCCTTTACTTTCCCCATTCACTGCATTCAAGTCCTTCTCTCTGAACAATTGATCAAAGCTTCCATCTACCATTCATACAAGGTTGGATGTATGCTTTAAGAGAGGTCGGACAAGAACAGACCAGAAATAACAATGCACTTCAGAGAAAAATCTCACATGAAAAGGAAGTGCATCTTTTTGTACTTTTTTTGTATTTGTAGAATAATCATTGCCTGTTAGAAACGTAGTGAAAACATGAAGCAAAAGACAATGAACTTGATTTCAGCACATCGGTTTTCTGGACGGAATCGATAAAAGAACAATATTATGCAAATTCTTGAAGGATTACTCAGCTGGACTTTTACCTGAAAATGTACAAACTGTGGATGACTGTTGACAGACTCTCACAAATGACGCCAATACACTGAAATGTTAAGCATTTTTTACATACAGTTAATCAATGCTTTGGGCCTCTTAATCCCTAATCAACTGAATTATAATACACTGCTTGTCTTTTTTCTCTCCATATTTCTCCAGTAGGTCTGGGGTTACATTTAAGAAAATACTTCAGATTAACAGTGCAATTACCTTATTTAGATTATATAGTGATTTCGGAATGATATCGATGTGTATTACAGGTTAACGGTATGAACAATTCTAAATTCAAAAGCTAAACATTTTGCAATATGTATTTAAATATTTTTAATGAGCAAAAAAACATTTTTGAGGCAACTGTTTGACTTTAGTTGTATTAGTGTACATCTACATATATATATATATATATATATATACATATATGTAGATATTATCATATCTCCCCAGCTCAACTTTGGTAAAAAATTATTAATAATAAAGTATACTGAGCGGCAATTTTAGGAGGAATATGATTATTCCCGACACCTACTCTACTCTAGTTAAATCCCTGCTGCAGAACAAATGATAGCATCCTGTGGTTTTCCAAACTATAAGCAGATTCTGGTATTTACTCTCTCCTGTACTCTTTGTCTTAATCAGTTTTGTAAATAACATACAGATATACAAAATCTCCAAAGCTTCCTTGTGGGCAAAATAATCTGTGTTGCTCGATGACAGCATGCATATATACTGTATATCATTGACTGTATACACACACCTGTTAACATTGTGGAGGGACAATTAAGTTGTTATTCAGAGGTAAAATAATTTCTAGACAAGAGCATTTCTAGCCATCTGTAATTAGGTGCTGAAAAGACATATAATGGTATAAACTGTCAGCATAGCTGAACAAAGCGACTACAGTACATGCTTCTTTTCATCTAATAACATGACATCATTGTTATGTTTGATTCTATATTCAGGCATTATTGCTGTTGAGTATTCCTTGTCCAGAAACAAAATGATTTCATCCAGTGATGGGGCGGCTTTGAGTCAATGGACATGTGTCCTTACAAAAATCTTTATAACTTGTTAATATCCGCTTAACTGTGTTGCTGTAAAGTAGTGATAGGTTGAGAAGAAGTTGAATATTAAGACAATGAATATTCTCTGTTGTTGTAACATCGCTCCTCCGTGTGTGCTGCTGGAAGACAAAAGACAGAACTAACATTCATCATTCATCTACCTAAAGGGGCTCATTATTCATAAAACAAGGTTTATTATTTACCACACTGAACCTACTGTATTTCCAAAGCATGTTTTGATTATGAATAAAGAACAAGTAGAATTTGAATGCGAAACTTCAGGTCCCCCTGGCCATTTAAATAATATATAGTGGGTAGAAGGGGGTATCATGCACCCCCCTGAAATATACTTCTAATCAGCTTTTCTAGATTGGAATAATTGTGTAGAAAATGATTAGCTATGTTAAAAAGTTGGCAAATTGTCCCACATATATATTTTTTTCAAAATTAGTGTGCCTATTACCCTAGAAATCGAGTTTCACTCTTTTTACTCCTTTCACTATATCTCAGCCATTATTGCAGATAAATTAACAAATAATGTGTCTAGACCCATGTTTTGATGGTCAAGGAACACAATAAAACTATTCTTAAAGTGATCACATGTGTCTGTGGCATGCTATTATGCTAATTAGTGCCGCCATTACAAGAAAATAGCATTTTAGTCTTGTACCAAGAAGGGTGTATTTTGCACCGACACAGAAATATACTTATAATCAGTGTTTCCAAAATGGAAAAAGTATGTAGAAAATGATGAGCCAACCCAACTAATATACAGTACAGGTGAACAACCCTGAAATCTGTTATCATATGAGTATCAATCACCTGGTTGGTTTGATTAAGTTAATTTAGAAATGATCTCATTGTGCATTACCTTTTGTAAAAACTCTGCCTGAGTAGTCCGAGTTTTTAAAAGTGCAGTTGTAGAAAATGGGTAGACAAATGATATAAACAGAGAAAAAAGGGGCTTGATCTGAGTACAGATTTAAAGCTGAAACTGACTTTAAACATGCAAACACACATTTACTGCAGGCTAAGAGTAGAATGATTTGTCCCTTAGTACTTTAGCCTTGATATATGTACAGGGTGTGATATTTCTGTCAAAGCTAAGGTACTTGGGCCAAGTTTGAGTGATCAACTTTAGTTTCGTAATCTATTCATTATTTAAAATGTTGAAATCAATGTGCATGTAAACATAGTGTTATCACAGCAAATATTTCTTTCAGTCAAAAAGTCAGGTAGATGATAGCTACACTAGCTGTCCTGAGTCACAACAGTTTGTGAGTAAGTGTGAATATTTGTCTAAATGTGACATTATATACACACCTGCAGGGGATGACAGGACTGTTGTGACTCTAAATCACTATATGTTTAGACTGTAAGAAATGTACATTTGTTTCATCTGTAACCAGATAAAAGTAAAGCCCAGGAGTCAACAGAACAGTTTGGCATTTTCCTAAACACGTATTTCACACATTTAAAATATTTGTCTTGCTTATTTGAACCCATAATTAAAGGCTTGAAATGAGAATTTGTAAACAGTTTGTTTGATACTTATCAAGACAGATTTTGGGTTTGAGAATCACTTTAACAGCAACTAAAAATAAAAATTAGGACGAAGAGTGAAAACTGTGTGAATGAGACGGACAGGGGGTTAGTTATCGTGTTAAAAAGCCATCAGAAGGGTCCTGGGAGTTAGTCCACCATCACCGTCAGCAACCTTGAACACGCCTGGCTGTAGACAATTGTTCATGTCCAAATTCATACAGATGGGTTTTAAATAAAATGCCAAGCACTCTGCTTTCAGCGTTTTCCAATTCACAAAATATGGATGGTTAAAACTTAGTCAAATATGACTAAATCTGTTATGAAATTAAATATTAGATACATTATAAGGTCTCTTGAAACTTACATTTTGTGGAAAGTTATTGGGCTGATGTCTAGTGTCACTCATAATAATGGCGGCCCCAGCCTGCCGTGCCTGAACAAGGCCCCCGAGGAGTTATGGTGCCATGTGAAATAGGCGAAGCAGCAGAACTGTCATAATAAATGTTTTCATCAAATAAAAAATGACGTGTTTCATTAGAACTCTGGGTCCACTTTCTTCAAACAGCTGAAGGTACGAAATTGTTAAATGAGAAGACAAAAAAAAGGACGTCATCAACATGGTGCTTTTTATTTAGTAGTGAGACATTCAATGCGTCTTGTTAATAAAGAGGTTTAGACTGAACATGAGGCCAGTTTTAGGAGGTGAAATATGTACAAGTAACCTCAACATAATAATGTGAAGTAGTGACAAGTGATGTCACATTAGAAGTTGACGGCTAGCGGCATCAGCACATGGTATTTGTGAGCAGTGTTGAATTGGTACGCTGGTTTTAAATACAGCTTGTTGTTTTGCTTGTAAAACTAAGCTTTATACTTTGTTTGTTATGAGGTATTACAGTTAAGGTAAAGGTTTGGATTAAGGTTCAAAATGTTTTAAATCAGTTAAAACAAAAGTAAGGTGTCGATCCAAACAGTAAAAACATGTTTTGGTCACGATAATGTTCGATGTTGCCTCCAGCTCATACAGGCTGTTGAAAGATCCAGTACTAACAAAAGAAAGCGGATTTTTCAATTTCCTAGATACAATATTTCTGTCAGTGAGGAACTGAAGATTGGGCTTCGAACGGCGCTTTATTCAGGATGGAGATTTGTATTCTTTTTTGGACTCTCCTTAACGTGCTTTTAATGAAATTGATGGAGAACAAAATCCTCAGCCCTCTTTTAATGAAAAAATATAAGCTTATTTAAACCATTAATGGATTTTGCACTAAAAGCACTGATAAAATACATGTATTATATTTGAATAGAAATAATATACTTGATTATATTTGGTAACCTGCTGAAGCGTCATGATAGCTTCAAATAGCGGTAGGTTTTGTCTTTCATCACTTATATTGGAAGAGCATTGTCAATATCTCATATGAACATACATTACTGCAAGAAAAACCTGGTAAAACTTAAGATGGACTTGAGAAAAAACTTAAATTTAAAGTGCAATAACACATGTCGCCATCTTAACTGCACCATGCAGACAATTCAAAACAATGGGGGCTCTTCAGCACCATAGAGGTTTGATGCTGCAAAAACCTTCCTGTCCTCAGAGCTCAGGATGAGACTGTTTAACATTTGCACTGTATGGAAAATGTAGGAACTTCAGAATTGTACAGAATAATTTAGGAAAACAATGAGATATGGGAATTTACACGACTGAACAATCACCTGGTGAAAATAACAAGGCAAATATTGACCTTACGCTCAGTAAAAACACATTGCAAAACTGTAGTTAGATCGGATTAACGACAAACGCTAAAATTGCTACATTTATTTTTGATTGAGTATAATCACATTCTCAACTATTAAAGACTTTATCTGAGAATATGTTAGCTGTCCATCATAGCATGACAAATATAACATCACTTCATACTGTAAAGTTTTTGCAAACCAGTTGGATATTTACTTAAACAGCGAAGTGATATACCACTCTTTTACTGCCACTGTCGCCTTTTTTGATGTGATGATCCAACATGACGCAGAGATCCAGCAGTGCTTTGGTGTGACACTGTGCCCCGTCTCCCCTAAAACACATCAACTTCCCAGTCAAACAAAAAAGTAATCATAATCACACCAGTTTAAGATCGTAACCAGCAAAAGCAGAAATCGACCCAATTGAACTAGTAATTGGTCAGTTTGTGATTTTATGGCAATATGTCTAGTATTGATTGAAGAAGTAAACTGCAACTTCAGTTGATAATGTCTGTAACCATTGTATCAGTCAAGATCTCAGCCTTATTGTAATTTTTACCTTCATTCTATCCGCTCTTACCGTCAGCAACAACCCTCACATGTTTCCCGAGGTCAGGAGCTGCCTACACTGGGCTATTTGGCTGAAGGGCACTCGGGTAGGTCTGACTGATCTAGCTGAACCACCATCCCTCTGGACTGAAAACAGTCAGTTAATGTCCCAGTAGAGAAGCAGAGGAGAGTCTCTGACAGAGTCGGGTCAGAGGGTTTGACCTCTGACCTCTGCCACGTCGCTCTGCAGCCGCTCCCCCGCCACCTGCAGCCCCTCCCTCTGCAGCTGCAGCCGGCCCCGAGCCTCCTGCAGCCGCTCCGTCAGGTCCAGATACTGAGAACACTGCCGGAACCTCAGGTCCACATCGCTGTCCGACCCGTCTGAGAAGGAGCACAACCAGGCAGTCAGCCACAGCAGAACAGGCAGTACGATACAGGAGAACAGGCAGTACACTACAGGAGAACAGGCAGTACACTACAGGAGAACAGGCGGTACGCTACAGGAGAACAGACAGTAAGCTACAGGAGAACAGGCGGTACGCTACAGGAGAACAAACAGTAAGCTACAGGAGAACAGGCGGTACGCTCCAGGAGAACAGTCAGTACACTACAGGAGAACAGGCAGTACATTTCAGGAGAACAGTCAGTACGCTACAGGAGAACAGACAGTAAGCTACAGGAGAACAGACAGTAAGCTACAGGAGAACAGACAGTACGCTACAGGAGAACAGACAGTAAGCTACAGGAGAACAGACAGTAAGCTACAGGAGAACAGGCGGTACGCTACAGGAGAACAAACAGTAAGCTACAGGAGAACAGGCGGTACGCTCCAGGAGAACAGTCAGTACACTACAGGAGAACAGGCAGTACATTTCAGGAGAACAGTCAGTACGCTACAGGAGAACAGACAGTAAGCTACAGGAGAACAGACAGTAAGCTACAGGAGAACAGACAGTACGCTACAGGAGAACAGACAGTAAGCTACAGGAGAACAGACAGTAAGCTACAGGAGAACAGGCGGTACGCTACAGGAGAACAGACAGTAAGCTACAGGAGAACAGGCGGTAAGCTACAGGAGAACAGACAGTAAACTACAGGAGAACAGGCGGTAAGCTACAGGAGAACAGACAGTAAACTACAGGAGAACAGGCGGTAAGCTACAGGAGAACAGACAGTAAGCTACAGGAGAACAGGCGGTACGCTACAGGAGAACAGACAGTAAGCTACAGGAGAACAGACAGTAAGCTACAGGAGAACAGGCGGTAAGCTACAGGAGAACAGACAGTAAGCTACAGGAGAACAGACAGTAAGCTACAGGAGAACAGGCAGTAAGCTACAGGAGAACAGACAGTACGCTACAGGAGAACAGACAGTAAGCTACAGGAGAACAGACAGTAAGCTACAGGAGAACAGACAGTAAGCTACAGGAGAACAGACAGTAAGCTACAGGAGAACAGACAGTACGCTACAGGAGAACAGACAGTAAGCTACAGGAGAACAGACAGTAAACTACAGGAGAACAGGCGGTACGCTACAGAAGAACAGTCAGTACACTACAGGAGAACAGGCGGTACGCTACAGGAGAACAGTCAGTACACTACAGGAGAACAGGCAGTACACTTCAGGAGAACAGTCAGTAAGCTACAGGAGAACAGGCGGTACGCTACAGGAGAACAGTCAGTACACTACAGGAGAACAGGCGGTACGCTACAGGAGAACAGACAGTAAGCTACAGGAGAACAGGCGGTACGCTACAGGAGAACAGACAGTAAGCTACAGGAGAACAGGCGGTACGCTACAGGAGAACAGACAGTAAGCTACAGGAGAACAGGCGGTACGCTACAGGAGAACAGTCAGTACACTACAGGAGAACAGGCAGTACACTTCAGGAGAACAGTCAGTACGCTACAGGAGAACAGTCAGTAAACTACAAATAAAAATGCAGTTAAAGGTAGTGTAGGTAAGTTTGAGAAACCGGCTCGAGATCGCTAGAATTTGAAAATACACGACCGGAGAAAATCTGCCACTTCCTTACAGAGCCCCTCCTCCAACACACACGAACGTGCACATGACCAATGAGGGCACGAGATAAGTTTGTGCACAGATGGAAGGCTGACAGGCAGGTAGGCCATCCAGTTATTTTAGCCGGGCCGGCTAAAATGATTGGTCGTGCTTTTTACAGTATTACGGCTTCCACAGATGACATTTTTCTATGGATTTTTTGTCAAAGCACTTCAGATATTCATTGCTATCGGGATGTTAAGAGCATTCAATGGAATATAACAAAAAGTGTATCTCGAGCCGGTTTCTCAAACTTACATACCCTACCTTTAAGTATACGGGAGAACCAGCTGGTAAGCTACAGAAAAAGACAGTCAGCAAACCACAAAAGAGCCAGTCAGTTCACTCAGGAGAAACAGTCAGTAAACCACAGGGGAAGCTGGGTAGTGTGGACTCACCGTGTCCAGTCTTCTCCAGGATGTTAAAGACCGGGTCACTGAGGGGGGCTCTGTTGATGTCCTCCAGGATCTGGTCCACAGTGGGGGGCTCTGGACGGCTCGGCAGAACCACACGCTTCTTGTTTTTAGAACCAAGATTCATTGTGCTGCAGACCAGGCTACACCTTCTGCATCTGCACACAAACATCATACATTCTGAGGTCAGCAGTGATCCTAAGGAGGAAACTGTGCTGTTAAAATGACAGAGAAACTGACCCTATGTCTGCCACTCCAACAGTGACACTCAGAGGGTGCTCATTAGCGACCATTGTATTTAATGTATGCCCTGTGCATCACTGACCCTTCACGTGAAGCCTTCATCGGAGCTGTTTATTAATCCGATACATTGAGAAATAATAATGTGATGGATTTTATAGTAACTAAATAATTGACTCATACGTTTCCGAAGTAATACCCGTTAGTATTAAAGTTATCTTAATAAACATAAACCTGTATAACTTCACATCAGTGGTGTCGTCTAGCTTTATTCTTTTATTTAACATTAATAACCTATCATCCAGCGTTACAGACCGAGGACATATGCTAACTAGCTAGCAAATTTGGTCTGGGCATCACAATTGGTGAAACCCGTGGAAATATGACTATGCCGAATTTAACATAAAGTCCTTCAGATTCATGAGACATCTTCGGTAAAATACGATACAGTGTAATGTTCGCCTATAAGCAGTTGTGGTCTAATGTGTTTAACTGTTAGACGGAGTTCCGCAGGTTGTTGAGCCAGCCGGAGGTTTAGTTAGCCGGTGCTTACTGGTGTTTAGTCGTCTTTCTGAAATACAGCGGCGGGTCTCAGGAATTCTCCGGAATGTCTTCTGCAACGTACACCGGACTGTAGGAAGGGAAATGACCAAAATGCTGCTAAATACAGAACTGTTTGGTAAACACGAGCCAGCGCAGGAGAGATGAGTGGACGTACTGCACCGCACGTTGACCGTCGACGACGTATTAACTGCCACGTCACTACGTCGGCATAGACGCACAGAGGCCACGCCCCCATTACACGTCATACTCTAGTCTAGTCTAACTCGATTCTGATCGGAGATTTTTATAACAATTTATTACACGGCTTCGCGTCGGGCTCCCTGATCAGCCTGTGTCGGGTGTTCTTATATAATCAGGTGTGCACATAACTTTTTGAGTGAGTTACTCAGATGAGTACCAGGAGACAGCGTTTGGTACTCACCCCACATGAAGCGTGGTGTTAATAAGTGCAGTCTTCCTCACTGTCCTCCTCAGTGTCTCCTTCACTGTCCTCTATTTACACTTCTTGCATGCTAGATGATGAAGATGATGAAGATGCACCTCCCTGTCTCTTTGTAAGCTTCCAATTTGCTTTCTCCAAAACTTGTTGCCAAAACTGTGAAGTCCTTGCATTTCCTGAGGCCAAGTTGAAGGATCAAATACTAAGAAATTATCACATGACTTGAAGTCATATCTGATTTCAGAGGTGGGAAGTAACAAAGTACACTTATTCAAGTACTGTACTTAGGTACAATTTAAGATACTTGTAGTTTACTTGAGTATTTCTATTTTATGCTACTTTGTACTTCTACTCTACTACAGTTCAGAGGTAAATCATGTACTTTTCTTCCACTACATTTATTTAATACCTTTAGTTACTTTACAGATGTGGATGAATGATGTGAAAATATAATCAAGTGTTAAATCAGACTTTTGTTCCACCTGGAGTAAATCCACAAGCTACCTTGCAGTATACAAAGTCATTCAAACTAATTTGTAAACACTTTAATGATCAATAATTATAAAACATATCATATACATTATTATGAAATGGACCAATCTGCAAAATGACTACTTTTACTGTCGCTACTTTAACTAGATTTTGATGATAATACTTTTCTAATTTTACTTGAGTAACACTTCTTCCACCTCTGTCTGATTTCAAACTCTTCCATTAACAGCCTGAGTAAGTTTGCAGCTGTGTGTTTTACTGCACTTTGTTGTAAATAAAACTGCAGCAGCTTGACCACAGAGCGTGAACGTTGTGATCAGCTGATTTTGCGCAGTTCTCCAGTGTGTGCGCGGGGCACAGAATGTGCACAGGGGAGTCTCCCACCGCAGCCAGTTGACGTAGTTTTGGTACAATTCTGTTGTACACACCGACGTTAACAGCAGCTCCGTCTGTGCACACGGCGACCAACTCTGTCGTCCAGTGATCTAAGCCTCTGCCTCCTGTGAAGCTTCACAGGTCCGTCGGTTATGTCCTGCGCGGCACGGCCAGCACCCAGTTCAATCAGTCATAGAAAGTCTGAAGATTTTAGCAGGGAGCGAAACGGCAAAGTGGCTGCTTAATGTCTTTGTTTTTTTTGGACATGTCTAATAATTTACTCCACTGAGTATTGACAAGAAACATGTGTAGGCGAAATATGTGTTTTGTTTTGATGACCTATCAGGTACGCAAAGGCGCGTTGTGACACAAGTGACGTTACGCATTTCAGATTGTTGCCGCGCATGCGTACCTGCGTACCAGTTATGTGCACCCCTGTATATAATTATCCCTTACATAGCACAGGCAGGGGCGTAGTACAAAACTCCGGGTCCTATACATAAGCTATCTCTGTGGCCCCCTTCCTCTCTTGATCCATGTCTCTAATGCACCTTTTAAAATGTATTTACAATGAGCCAACAACTGTACACATGAATCTGAAGCGGTTATTAGGGAAGTCATGAAGTATTAGTAATGAACTAAAGTAGAACTAAAGTACAAATAGTAATAATAGAAGTAATAATACTCTGTCATACATGCCAACCTTTCCAAATCCAAAAGAGGTAGGTTTGCGCCCGGCAAATGTGCACGCCCAAATTAGGTAATCAGAAGAAATGGAACCCCAGTAATTACATGTATAAACCATGTATTTAACATATATTGCATCATTTTATGCATTTTTCAGAAAAAGTGGTAGTTTGGTAAACAGTGACATCAACGACATGTTTGGTCTGTAAAATGCCCGAAAAGTAAAAGAATGGGAGATAAATATCCCAAAGTCTCCACATTTTATTATATTTTTAATGTGTTTCTGGTCCTCTTTCAGTTGCATTGTTGGAGAAGCCTGTGACATAAGATTTTCAACGACATAATTACTCTGTAGCTATGTTAGTTTGACAATAAAGAACCTTGAACCTTGACAGTGTAGATCAGGGGTGCCCAACCTTTTTTGAACCGAGAGCTACTTTTAAAGTGGCCAGTCTGCCGAGATCTACCAGTCCAAATAGAGAGGCGCAGCCATTACTGACAGCCGACTACCAGGTAAATACACACTTCTACTTGTATAAAACTGACCTTTGTACGATTAATACTTCATAAAATACTGCAGATCCTTTATCTTACCTCTTTCTAATCTACACACACACAAGTATTTAACTGAAGTTACACAACAGTGTTGTTGATACAGAGTTGGGAGTTTATTCACACGTCACAAACTACAGTGGGTAATGTTTTCAAGAAACATTGAACAGTGCTGCCACATATGACACAGGAAAAAAAGAAAAGACTCTGAACCCTTTCTTTGCCATTATATAAAAATAGTGTTGCTACAAAAGTATAAATTAGTTTTTACTAATAAGACAACTCAGATCTGAAGTTACACAGGAATCTGCTGCCAGAGTGCAATAAAAAAGACAAAATTAATAGAATCAAACCCTTTTCTTTTTTTTGCATTTTAGTAGAGTATAAAAAGAAATGCCTTTAAAATAGGATGCAAGCAACACTAGTTTCTTAACCTGAATTGATAATAGACTATAATCAATTTAAACAGAACAGATCTTAAAGTTTGCATTCTTATACCATTTTGTACAATAATTATAATGAATAAGTTCAAACAAACTAAAACTTACAGCTGATTAATAACGGTATCTAACTTGAGTTTTTATTATATCAAAAACCTGTTGAAATGCTACTGCTATTTTTACTGTCCCCAAAAAGCGCGTCGGCAGCCTCCAGGAATGCTTCTTTCACAACTTCGCCGTCTTTGAAAGACTTCATGTGTTTTGCAAGAACGTGACTGACACGATAAGACGCTATGGTAGCAGCCTTGCTCTTGTTGTTGGGCCTGGTGAAAATTGACTGCTGTGCATTTAGCTGTCCTTTCAGGTCCCTCACCTTTTGGGAGCGTAGGACAGAATTAGGAGGGAATTCCGTCTCGTAGCGTTTGTGCACTGTTTTGAAATGCCGCTCCTAAATTACCCTTCTTCGATAAAGCCACGCTCGCATTGCAGATGAGAGACAGATGGACTTTGAATTGGAATAGATACAAAAATAATCATCCTCCCCACTCGGAGTGAAAATGATATATTTTGGGCTCTTTTGCTTCTGCCATAATTGTGGTCTTGTGTGTGCGGACTGCACAGCAAACTAGTGCCCACTGCCCACTGCCTACCAGCCACGCCCCGATAAATCACAAAGCTTTGATGCGTTCAAGTGCATTATTCTGGCACAGGAAGATTATGTTATAGGACATTAACGATAAAACAGAATATTGTCGTTCTATTTTTAGACACATCTCGCGATCGACTGAAACACAGAGGACTGTTTGTATGATGGGATCACAGACACGCTGCAAACGGTGTCCGCCAAAAGTCGAGTCCAGTGTCTATGTAGTGTCATTTTTATTTGTTATAGTTTGGGAAGATTGAAAATCGGTAGGGAGAGTCAGCTAAGTCGGTAGGCGGTAGAAACATGTCAAAAGCGGTAGACTACCGCCCAAATCGGTAGGGTTGGCAGGTATGCTCTGTGCACATTTCAACCCTCTTTCCTCAACATACTGTAGTTTACAATTACTTTACGATGGATAAATTAGGTTTGCTTGGAGTATCATGCTTAAGAGAACATTCTTCATGTTTATTTAAGTATTTATCATTCCCACGGTATAAAACAAAACAAAAAAAACACCATCTTAGTTTTCTAACCACTACATTGAGAGAGTGCTTACTATACTGCATAATAACAGACAACTGAACAAGACTTCACAAGTCATGTTTATTTGCATAAACAATAACCAGGGATGCAAACTCATCAGGTATGAAAAAGGTGACAAGGATCCGAGCCCCCCCCCCCCGACCCCACGGAATATCGGCTTTAAAATGAGGAATAACAGAGGATTTTAGCAGTCAGAACAACTAAAGCAGTTAATAATAACAGAACCGCCAAAGAGTCACATCTAATAGAAATGTATAAAAGCATTTATTTGAATTGTGTAGCAGTCAGTTTATAATTTTGGCAGCACTGTTGAGCATTTTGAAAATGTATTTTCATGCCTCTGTGCAAGGCTTAGTCTTTCTATCTGTATAGCCAGTGGTGTAAAGTAACTAAGTTCATAAACTCAACAAGTACTATACTTGGGTACAATTTTGAGATACTTTATTTAAGTATTTCAATGTGTTGCTACTTTGTTCTTCTACTCCACTACAGTTCAGAGGTAAATGGTGTACTTCTACTCCACTACATGTATTTAATACCTTTAGTTACTTTACAGATGAGGATGAATGATGTGAAATATAATCAAGTGTTAAATCAGACTTTAGTTCCACCTGGAGTAAATTCACAAGCTACCCTGCAGTATACAAAGTCATTCAAACTAGCTGCACCTTTACCAGCTTTGAGAACACTTTCATGATCAATCATTATAAAACATATCATATATATTATTCTGAAATGGACCAATCTGCACAATGACTACTTTTACTGTAGCTACTTTCACTATATTTTGATGAGAATACTTTTCTACTTTTACTTGAGGAACATTTTGAATGCAGGACTTCTACTTCTACTTTTACTCAAGTACAAGACCTGAGTACTTCTACTTTTACTCAAGTACAAGACCTGAGTACTTCTACTTTGACTCTAGTACAAGATCTGAGTACTTCTACTTTTACTCTAGTACAAGATCTGAGTGCTTCTACTTTTACTC